AGAAACCCATCCTTCGAAATGCTCTGTAAATATGAATTTCCTTTCACTTTTTTCAATTTTTCTCTATGTACAAAGTATTATGTACTTTATATCAACGATTTCTCGGAGAAAATTTTAACTCAGGGATTAGAAATGAAGAGATTGAGTGAAGGGCAAAGGATTAATAATATTTTTTTTTTCTGAATGGGAATATACGTCTTTTGCAGACGTATATCTGAACTCCTCATTCTCCAGACGAGAAGTGGAAAACGTATTTATCCACTTTGGTGACGTGGTTACGCGTACGGCTTTGAGACCCCGCGGTCATTGAATATTAAACAGACGCGCAAAGTCTTTTCATGTTGAATAATTTACGTAAAGACAGAAGGAGAAAGAGGAAGAGAGAGAGAGTGAGAAAATAACATAAATTTGGAATTCAGCCAATTGTAATAAAAATCAATTTTATCACAAATTGTGCATGAAATGTTTTCTTTTAATGCGATATTAAACACACATTTGGGGGATCCGATTTAATTTCATAGTAAAATCGATGGAATACAGTCAAACCTGAATATTTTTCTCTTATACAGGTTCCACTGTATTGTTAATATTTTTTTTAGAGATTTATTACATCATTTATATTATACTATTTATTGTTATTATTATATTTTTTTTTGTTTTTTTTTAAATAACTTGTAAGCAGTTTTCGTCATCTCTCCTTGAAAGTGTATAAGAGGAAAAAAATTCGATTTTTTCTCCAAAAGAAAAAAAAAATTGCATTCCTACACCCCATGTCGTGGTGTTTGCTCTTGGTGAAAAATTTACGACTCTATTTCCAAGAGAGGGAGAATTGGCCAAGATGAGAGGAAAAAAAAAAAAAAAAAAAAAGGGGGAAAGAAAATTCCTGTTGCGATGGGTGAAATTTAGAAAGTCAACTAATCATTGTCTTGAGGTCTTAGCGTGTTAAGTTTCCAGAAGTTAACGTCTCCCGGAGGGGTTAATCCGTTGACCACGAGACTCACCGCAAACATCATAAATCATAGACCTTGGTTTCTATCAAGAAACCAGCGTCCAAACTGACTTTCTCAGATGTCACTTCGTGTGTACCATCATTTAATCCAATTACAAGAACCACATTTATTTATCAATATTAGGAAAACATTAAATCTTAATAAAATAATAAATAAAAAAAAAATAGTTAAGAAAATAATTGTGTTTTCAAAAAATAATTAAAAAATTTTTTTTCTTAATATTTAGAAAGGGATAAAAAAATAAAAGAAAAATAATTTCAAAATTTTCGTTTAATACAGTTTTTGACGAATTAAAATGTAAGTAAAAAGGCATTTTGTGATAATTGTCATTTTTCATGAATATCATTTATTTTAAAGAACAGTGTTACTTTGCCAGTAGGTCGGTAGTGTGTTTGTGCGCTCTTTAACTCATGATGCGCATGGTTGCAGAGTAAATCCGCCACGTTTATTAAGACAAGAATAAATCTTCTGAAAGAGTTAGCAAGTTAAGAACCCCAAGACCGACTGCTATACCAGTTAAAATTTAAAGTATAATATTGGTTACCGTTATAAATATTGTAGGATTAGTGAGACTTAACTTTTGACATCTATTTCATTATGAGACGAATTCTATTATTATTACTATACTTCTATATATATATATAGATAGAGAGAGAGTGCCGGTAGCAGTAGCAAAAATCGGTTAAATCCAATTGTTACTAACAATCGAATGAATTGACCAGTGTATCTATAGTGAACGGACACTTGGTCCCAGTGGGAATACGGAAAGGGTTAAAAGATTTTCTCTAAAAGAGGAATTCGGAGACATTATTATAATATGGGCGGAGAAAGAGGCATGGAAAAATGGTTTTACATTATAATGGACTTGAACTTTTCTCACTTTTACGAATAATTAACTGAATTTAGATTTGAAGAATTGGCTACTTGTTTGAAATATATGATTTCTTCAATATAAGGCCATTAAGAAAATTTATTAACTCGCGCGTCTTCTATAAATCTTTTTTTATGACACAAATTATATGAAGGCAATCCCAATGTTATAGTGAAAATTAACTTCACAATAAAATGTAATTTTTCTACGTGAATAATAAAGCCCAAAAGCGTTAGTTTCGCTTTGGCGTCCGTCCGTCCGTCCGTCCGTCGTAGTCTCGTATATGGTTGCCATGGTAACAGTTACTGTAGCAACCGTTTCCATGGTAACAGTTACTATAGCAACCGTTTCCATGGTAACAGTTACTACAGCAATCGTTACCATGTCAACCGTTACCATAGGAACCGTTACCATAGCAGACCACAAAACCCTGCAATCGAGGCGCTATGCGCCAGCTTCTATCATTTTTTTTTTTTTTTTTTTGAGAATCTAAATCGATTTTCACACAACCGTATAAAAACTGTCTTGAAACTAACCCCCGCGATGAAATTCAGACGGCCGGAAAATAAAACGAGCTTTAAGCTCATCCTCGAAATGGAAATTGCAATCCAAGGAAGTCGTGCGCGAAAGCACTGAAGGTTTTTCTCATATATTGAAAAGTCGACAGAGAATGCGCGCTTTCCACTTCCTCGATTCTTATCGGTTGAGGATTTGACAAAAGCTCACTCTCGCGGCTTTTTTTTATATATATTCATAAATTTGTAAAATGAAAATTTTCAGACTCGGAAACATTTTTCAATATCCATAAAACACATTGTAACATATTTTATATAACATTTTATGTAATACAAATTTATATATAGTAATAATAATAATGTAGTATTTATTTATTTTACAATAAACTTTTTTTTTTATAAAAGTAAATAACTTTTTCTTTCAAATAAAAAATAATAATTTATTATGAAATATTTTCTCATTGTTATCCTCGTTAAATTGGAAAAAAAAATTGAATGGCGTCAAAAACCTTCTTTTTTTTTTTATAAATATGTGTATATATATTTTTTCATTCACGAATCGACAATGAGATTTTTGGGTCCATAATGGTTAGTTTTTAATGAAGAGAATTTTATTGAAAACTTATGCACCCGTAAATTGTATATATATATATATGTGTGGGTTTGCATTTTGTTTTTGCAAACGCCTCAGTTCTCGCGTTATCGCGAATAACCAAGAGACATATATTAGTTTTAACGAAGGTAATATACGGCATTTCGTCGATTTATTCATACTGCCCGCGTTTACTTCCACCCAGATTAAGCGGCGACGGAACAATGGTTTTCTTCGCCCCTATATATATATTTATTTTTTCAGTTCAAGAGAAACCGACATCGTGACTCCTCTCTTACTCTCTTTCTCTCTCTCTCTCTCTCTCTCTCTCTCTTGACGAAATTCTGGTTCATGTCGCAATTTTAATTTAAAATTACCCGATTTGCAAAATGATATTTACAAAAAAAAAAATTTCTTTTTTTTCCTTAAAAGAAAAGTGGAATATAACTAAAAATTTAGTAATATTAATATTTATATTTGCTGTCGAATTAGTTTTATCAAATTAATTTTTAATTTAAATTTTGTTTTTGATAAATTTCGATTATATTGAACGTTAAGGTTATTGTTTAAGGTCACTTAAAATTGCAATATATAAATTATTAGGGAAAAAAATAGTGAAAATTTTTTAGTTTTCTGATTGGAACGCGCGTGCCTCTGTGAGAGTATCTCAATTACACGCTAAATTAGTACTAATTGACACGCTAATTATTGATTCGACGGGGTTTCCTTAATAATTCACCGCTCCCACCCAGTTGCCAATCAATTTCCCGATTCGCTTGCGAGAGATATATTGGAAATGAGGTTTTTGTCGCTTATATGAGGTCGTTTGCACACACACACACATATATATATATATATATGTATATGAAGTTTACGTCTCTATTAAAAGTATATTCATGGTTAAAAATTAACAAAATAGTAAAAAAAAATTTGAAAAATAAAAATATGAAAAGTTACCGACATAGAAATCTACCTTACCGACTGATGATAAACAAATTCTTTTGGAAAATTAAAATATAAAAAGTTACCGACATAGAAATCTACCTTACCGACCGATGGTAAAACAGATTTTTCTTGGGAATGGAAGTATAAAAAATACAATCCGTCGGTAAGGTAGATATAAAAAAGTTACCGACATAGTAATCTACCTTACCGACTGATGGTAAAACAGATTTTTCTCGGGAATGGAAGTATAAAAATTACCATCCGTCGGTAAGGTAGATTACTATGTCGGCAATTTTTATATTATTATACTTTTCAAAAACCTGTTTTACCATCAGTTGGCATGGTAGATTTCTATGTCGGTAATTTTTTTATATTTTCGCTTACATCGGATTTTTTCCGGTCCCTTGAAATCCGATATACGTGGGTTTCATTGTATTTATATATACAGGTGAATAACGGATGCAGTCACACGAGTAACTTGGTTGGCAAACTCGGCTAACCGACCTAATGGGTTTCGTGCAGGACCTTATTAACGTTGCACGCGACCGCACTTGAATTTTTGATTTCCGATGAGTCGCTCCTGTCGAAAAAAGTTATTGTGTCGTGAGAGGCGCACACTTTGAAAACGAGCTGTAACTTTTCTCCATTAAGAGCTGATATGTGTTGTAAATGTAGTAGTCGTTCGAGAGTTAATTAGTTCGTTACGGACTAACGATAATGTAATTTAATAACTTTTTTACTCCAAATTGTATATATGACATTCCGAGCGCTTATATATATATATATATATGTTGTATTTTTATAAAAACTCTGAACATCCTTTTGGTACAAAAGAATTGTTAATGTAGAACTAACAAATCTGATTTGTGGCTTCAACAAATTTTTTGTTTGTAGTTTCTCTATTAATACGGAATATTAGATTTAACATAATTTTTAGGTAAAATAAACTGTAGTAGTGAATATTTTTTTTTCGACTAGGTGCACTTAGCAGATTATGGTTTTATTTATGAAAAAAAAAATTCTCATTTGACCCAATTAGCTAATGAGGTATCAATATCATCTTTCAGAGAGACGATTCGAAGTAACCTTGGAAAACTGCGCACACGCTTGATTGAATATTTAATAAACATGAAGATTATCCCCAACAAGGTGAGTAAATGACACTTTATATATGACTACATATTCGAAAGTTTTTCATTCATTAAGTAATGATGAAAGGGTTAAAAAAAATTGTTGTGATATCAAAACCTGTCCACTTTGATGTTGTAGCTTGTCATTTAATTAGAATAACTTGAACACTAACAAAATATATATATATATAAAATGTGACATTTTCATTTTATAGCGAGAAATATAGTTTTGAAATAATATAATATTAATTTATTCTATTTTATTTCGGATTCTTTCATCAATACTTTAATCTTCATGTATATATATATATATAATATAAAATTAGGTAGTTTGCAATTCTAATTGACCGCGCGGGCTCTTTCCATAATGTAAATTAAGTTATTTAAAAACACGGCAAAATTTTCATAAACGAGAATTTCGAATTATTTTTCACGCGATTATTTATTAAAATGTGTTACAAATCGAATTTCATTTTAATATTATTTACTTGAATTATTTTTCACGCAATTATACATATTAAAATGTGTTACAAAATAAATTTAATTTTTACTTATTTATTTATTATACTTAATATTACACTGAAAAAAAATTAATTTAATTTAAATAATCGACAATTATCAAATAAATATTTCCTTGAACCAAATAATTTTTCTTTTTCTTTTGAAAAGTACATAGAAAAAAAAAAATTGTGTAACAATTTTAAGTCATTAGAAAATAAATGTCAGACTATCAATAAACCATCATATATTTATATATATTATATATACATAAGGTCCCGCATACAATTTTTTTTCTCACATCAGCGCAATTATTAAGTGATCAGGTCACATTTGTGGCAAACACGTGGACCAGTCCCAAGTTTTTATTTGATCTTAAAAATGAATGAACCCGCATGTTGAGGGTCTTTTATATATATAAAAAAAAAAAATAAATAAAGGGGTGTGCACAACACCCACACACGATGGTGTGCAGAAAGGTTGCACCTGGCCCAAGAAAGATTGGAGTGTCATACAAATATATATAAGTATATACCTCTTTAGATATCATACATTTAAAATACAATTTTTAAGCGTTGTAAACGGTATATATACAACAAAATGCAATGAAAAGAAAATTTTATTTTAATTTGAAAGATTTTCATTTTTAATATAAATATCCTACAAAAATTGGTATTGGTAGAAAATACATTTGTTTAGTAAAAAAAAAAAAAAAATATTGTTAAAAGTACTATATTTATAATGATTTTTACTAAACTTACATCAATTCTATATTTCCATTTTCACCCTTCCTACTACCTAATTCCGATATTACTATTACCTTTTAAATATTTTTACTATGCAAATGGTAACTATGAAAATGGTTGTTATGAAAACGGTAGCTATGGAAACGGTTGCTACGGTAATGGTTGCTATGGAAACGGTTACTATAGAGACGCTTGCTATTTAAACTAGAAAAGGTTGCTATAGTATCGGTTGTCATGGAAACGATTGCTATGGAAACGGTTACTATGGAGACGGTTGCTATGGAAACTAGAAACGGTTGCTATAGTATCGGTTGTCATGGAAACGGTTGCTATGGAAACGGTTACTATGGAAACGGTTACTATGAAGACGGTTGCTATGGAAACGGTAGCTATGGAAACGGTAGCTATAGAAGTGGTTACTATGGAGACGGTTGCTATGGAAACGGTAGCTATGGAAACGGTAGCTATAGAAGTGGTTACTATGGAGACGGTTGCTATGGAAACGGTAGCTATGGAAACGGTAGCTATAGAAGTGGTTACTATGGAGACGGTTGCTATGGAAACTAGAAGCGGTTGCTATAGTATCGGTTGTTATGGAAACGGTTGCTATGGAAACGGTTGCTATGGAAACGGTTACTATGAAGACGGTTGCTATGGAAACGGTAGCTATGGAAACGGTAGCTATAGAAGTGGTTACTATGGAGACGGTTGCTATGGAAACTAGAAGCGGTTGCTATAGTATCGGTTGTTATGGAAACGGTTGCTATGGAAACGGTTACTATGAAGACGGTTGCTATGGAAACGGTAGCTATGGAAGCGGTTACTATGGAAACTAGAAACGGTTGCTACAGTATCGGTTGTCATGGAAACAGTTTCTATGGAAACGGTAACTATATGGAAACGGTTATTATGAAGACGGTTGCTATGGAAACGGTTACTATGGAGACGGTTGCTATGAAGACGGTTTCTATGGAAACGGTTGCTATGGAAACTAGAAACGGTTGCTACAGTATCGGTTGTCATGGAAACGGTTGCTATAGAAACGGTAACTATGGAAACGATTATTATGAAGACGGTTGCTATGGAAACGGTAGCTATGGAAACGGTAGCTATAGAAGTGGTTACTATGGAGACGGTTGCTATGGAAACTAGAAGCGGTTGCTATAGTATCGGTTGTTATGGAAACGGTTGCTATGGAAACGGTTACTATGAAGACGGTTGCTATGGAAACGGTAGCTATGGAAGCGGTTACTATGGAAACTAGAAACGGTTGCTACAGTATCGGTTGTCATGGAAACAGTTTCTATGGAAACGGTAACTATATGGAAACGGTTATTATGAAGACGGTTGCTATGGAAACGGTTACTATGGAGACGGTTGCTATGAAGACGGTTTCTATGGAAACGGTTGCTATGGAAACTAGAAACGGTTGCTACAGTATCGGTTGTCATGGAAACGGTTGCTATAGAAACGGTAACTATGGAAACGATTATTATGAAGACGGTTGCTATGGAAACGGTTACTATGGAGACGGTTGCTATGAAGACGGTTGCTTTGGAAGCGGTAGCTATGAAAACGGTGCTTTAGAAACGGTTGCTTTGGTAACGGTAGTCATGGAAACTGTTGCTATGGTAACTGTTACGAAAGCCTAATAACTGCCCCTCCTGGAACTAGGAGAAATAGTTGAAAAAAAAATAGTCAAATTTACTTGAGTGTGGAACAAAAAAAATATATTGTATTTTTTTTGTCCTTACTTAAATTACATAAATAATATATTTGACGTAAGAAAAAAAAAATAATAATAATAATAAAAGATAAAACAATGAAGAAGTTGAAGTGGAGATAAATCGTGCGATTTCTGCGCGGGTGGTACGTCCGATCGGAGAATATTTTGAACGCATGATACAATGTGCATTACAGTGGCTATGTCGTGACCTGTCCCGGATGAAAGTATATGGCCAAGAGGAACTCTACGTGTCCATCTCTCATTCTCTTCCCCAGAGCGCGAATTCGCGGAATTGAGATCTTGGCGGGGTCTTGCTTTCTCGATGTTGGCTCTCTTATCGATTGGCGGTCCCTTGACAGTGAAAAATGAAAGCTACGAAGTTGGCGATCGTGTACATATACATATATATATATATATAAACCGAGGCCAAAAAGTGGAACGAAGAACGGTCTCTTGCGGCGATCCTCCCTCTTTCCAAGACATACGTTATATGCACCGAGAGATGGCAGAAAATAAGATACACGAGCCCGATCCGATTTGCAATTGTTCTCCGAAAAGAATGTTGAGTCGATTTCTCTTTCAGAAATTTAACTTGAGAAAAAAAAAAAATCTCGATTTCTTTGAAACGTCAACTTTTTTTTGAAAATTGCATTTTTTTTGTAATTAACTCCACACAAATTAATTTCTCCATCTTTAAATCTTTAGAGAAAAATTTTAATTTAATTATATCCTTAATTAAATAAGATTAAGCATAAATTTATCAGTTTTTTATTTTTATTCGCTCGCTCTTATAACTTTGAAAAATGTGAATGCGATAAGGCACGAATTACGTCATTTTTCGCGGGCAAGCAGCAAATGTAATTTCTATGCTCTCGGCACGAGTTGAAATAAGATTCCTCTTCTTTTTCTTAGCGAGAGTGAGAAAGAGAGAGAGAGAGAGAAATGGCGGTGTCCTTTCGACTGGATAGATGCTTCGAATAATTAACACACGGGAGAAAAATCATTGAGCACCATATGCCGCGCGTTGAAGGAATATGTTCATGTAGGAGAAAGAGAGAGAGAGAGAGAGGGAAAGAGATTATGCGCGCATCTCCGGCTTCGTGGTACATTAAACCCTCCCTTGGCGCTATCGCAAAAGCAACAGCTGCTATGCGCGTCTTATGCTATCAATGTATCTTGCGCCTTCGCACGAGCCTCTCTTCTTCTCTTACCGAGAGAAGAAGAGAACCACGATCGCGGCAAATATAGCTTTTGCAAAAAAAAAAAAAAAAAATCAAACCCGAGATCCATATGAAAAAAAAAAAATTATATAATTGTGCCCCCAAGGAATTGTAATTATTCTGAATTACATGAATTTGACTTTCTGCTAGGCGTGAATTTATTGCTATTCTATGAAATTATTTATTGGCTTCTGTGAAATTGTCTCTCTTCTTTTATTTCTCTGTCTACTATTTTAAGTCTCTACGTTTCAATCAGAATTTTCGCCATTTTTCGCATACGGAGAAAAATGAATAAAGTAACTTTTACCACTTTAAAAGTAAAACCGGAACAGTTTCTAATTTTACTCCAGAAATAGTAAAAATTGTTCCGGGCATAGTAAATTTCGATTTCTAGGGTAAAAATTACCAGAAACTGTGACAAGTTCCGGTTTCACTAACGTAGTAAAATTTATGCAGTGAAAGGGATTTTAGAAGCAAATAATTAATTTCCCTACAAGGGCCCTAGTAGGGAATGAAACGCCACACCTGATCAGGGCCAAATGTGGATTTCCTAATCAGGGCCACATCAGGCGCGGCGTTTCATTTCCTAATAGGGCAGCCAGATCCGGCCCCGATCTGGGCCCTGGCAAAATTTATACACGCACGGAGAAAAAGGAATGGTTGCGGGCCAACCATAGGTATTGATAAATACGTCCCATCAATATTATATGGTTACCACAACCATATCTTTAGTTGATACAACCATAGTATGGTTGGCGCAACCAAAGGTCAGGTTGACACATCAAATTTGCAATTTTTCGTAATTTTGATGTGACAACCTAACTTTTGG